ATGAAACTTTATATGTATATGTAAAATGTATGGTGCTCATATAAAAAATAAATTTAGATTCATTGTTTCTTTAATTGTACATTATAATCTGAAATGCATTCCACCTTCCTAATGAATAAAAATTCCGGCATTTGATAATTATTATACATGTAGAATTAATCCAATAATATCATGCCAACTTTTAAGAAAGTAAAAGCATTTCCAGTTATACCGCGAAGGCACGGAGGGAGAAAATTTGATATATAACTCCTTTTTTAAAAAAGGCGTTCCAGGAAAGCGAAAGGCGACCAGGAAAGCGGAGACCGATCGCCAAATCCTGGTGGTGACAAATTATCGTCCGCCACCTGTTAGCTTGAGCGTCACTGAGTCTTTAATTTTATCGATGTCAGGAAACTGAAGAAATACGAAATCCGCTCGCCGAGATACGAACCACAATCTAAAAAGTGATACGCCATTTACAGTGATTCAACGCAGAATGCCATTTCTAGACTAACATCCTTTTTCCTTTTTGGCTTTAAAAAAACGAAACAAAACAAAACAAAACCGGGAGTACATCTGAAGTCTGCTACAATATGCCAGGTGCAAGATTATAGCTAATGAATTCGTTTCCTTCGAGCATTACTGAAATTACTACCCAACTCCATATGTATATAAGGAAAGCTAATGGTAAAAATAGTTTTATTCCGAAATCAGGCATAAGAAGAATCGGTTACAAAAAATAGAACTGAAGATTTAAAAAACTCTTCATTTAAGGCGCCAGTTATAATAACACATCATAATAATGCTTATTTTTTCCTCACAAAATCGAGGTCTCCTTGGGAATTTTACACACAATACTTGCTATAAATCTGACATATTTGAAAAGATAACACAAAATCAACAAATTGGAATACCACAGTGCGATTTGCAACTATACGTACTTATCAGAAATGGGTTTTGGGGAATATGAAAAATTTTCTTTCAAAAATTCAATATGAAAAATTTCTCTGTGGGAGAAATATTTTCTCTCATAGAGGGCGTTTTATAATTAATATTGCAAAAATGTTCAAATTACAGAAAACAAATGTGAAAATTGAGTACACATGATGGACTTCTATATTATCAACAGTATTTTAATATTTTCAGAAGTGCACACGAATAAATGCTGTGTAATCTCAATTTTTTATTCTTATCGTGTAATACTAACTGCATCTAGTGTATTAAATACACAAATAAATTTAAAAGCCAATGGACAATTATCACATAACACTTACTGCCTTTTTAAAAGCAACAGAATTTCTCATTACCGGTTACCGATGAGAAGGAACGGGGGTGGCAGTGGATGAAATAGCACAAAATTGAATGAGAAATCACTGACAATAATAACCCTATCCACTGATCCCGTTTAGTTACTGTATTAGTTACTGTATGTAATGTAATAACTGTATTGAACCAAAATCATATGCATGCCCGTGCTGCAGTGCAAGACCGGAACTGCAGTGGGAAGACTGCATTAAATCAAATACTAACGATACCGTTTACACTATGTATACATTTCCAAGAAAAAAAAGGAGAGTCATAACATCGTAAACGATAAACGGAAATCTGAGAGCCATACATCGATAATGCATCACTATCAGGATCATATACTTTAACTGAAAGACAGCAAAAAATATCATTCTGAAAACTACTAAAGTAGAAATATTCTTTCTTTGCTCCTATCTCCAATATAAAAGCTTAAATAATCAAAATTATTGGTCGTAAGCTTTAGAATAATGGGAACACAGTAGATAAGGGAGGGGAAAAACTTTATTATTAAGAAAACAATGCATTTTAAGCTTAAATACTATGCATTTATACATTAACAAATGTTTTCTTTAAAATTATTTCCTAAATGACTTCTTTTATTTGTTATTGTTTCGTTCACTTTTGAAACTATCTGAACAGTTTGAAAACAAATAAATAAAACGCTCCCCTTCTGACATTACTACCACATTTAAAGGCATCCAATTTTCACCGTTCATAAAGCCATTCTCTGAAGAAAATCAATAGGATCACAGACAAAGAAATAGAAGGATTAATGGTCCTTGAAGAAATAACATCTCACAAAGCGTTTTTAACGGTATTTTAGTATGCGATAGTCCATTTAGCTGGCATCATTACCGTAAGAAGACGAAAAAAGAAAACATTATTTTATGTTTTCTCTATTTGTACGTATTTCATTCTTTAAAGGATAGAGCTCAAAAAGTTCTAGTTCCACGTAAAACTCAAGAACTCGACGCGAATTTTTGAGATGTGTAGAAATGAGAAATCTATATAATGCTGTTTAAAAAAATAAGCAAGAAACATTATGGATAAAAACACATCTAACTAATGAAAGTTCACAAAAAATGTGTTTCTGGACACAGTAGACCACACACAGAAAAAATATTTCAAGCAAAAGAAAAAGTATATAAATTATGATTATGATATTTCGACAGCTAAATCTGGCATTAAATATGTTCAAAGGGATAATTAATTTAGTAGTGTGTATGGTAATCTCCAGATGAAAAGCAAAATCGATAATGGCGATTCATGCTTTTCTTCTGCGCCAGTGAAGGCCATTCTGCTAGAAGCGCATATCGGAATTCAATGATAGTATTTATAGAACACGACGATTTGCAATACCTCTTCCTTGCATATCCCTTATATGTTATCCCATATATGTTCTACTGGATTTATGTTTGATTACTGTATAAGTAGAAGTATTTCACTTTCCAGGTATTTCTGAATAAACAAGAACTACAAATACCGTCTCAAATAGTGTCTGTGATGTTGCCTCAATCAGCTTATTGCATCTGTAAGAATTGCACAAGTATTCGGGTCAACAATAAATAGAGGAACAATAATAATAAATGGAGGAACATATAGAATTTCATCACGATATCGAAATCCTTCGTAACTAAAAAAACAGCAAAAACATGGAGGGCGTGTATTCCAACACACATTTAGCAAAACGCATCTGCTGAAATGGTCTCTTTCTGTGATATTTATCAATGGATATTAAGTCCCGGATTCTCTCTATATAAGAACTCCTGCGTTAAAACTCTCCCTAAACAGTACTTAATTTCATCGATATTGATTACACTAGAAGCAATCCCAATTCATCAGGCTGAGATGCAAGACAGTGAGTCTTAAAAAAAAAAAAAAAAGATGAAGTGTATGTGAAACAGTTTATCCATACATGAGCTTTACTGCATTCACAATTCACAAAGAGGTCTGAACCTAACTGTTGTGTTGTAATTCAATGGCATATAGCATTTTTGTACTGATTTTGTACAGACGGTCTCTGTCAGCCACTGAAGTAATCCTATGTCGGCCACATCCAGACTTTTAGAGGTGGTTTAATTACTTTGTTAATGATTCAACAGTCGAATTACGGCGCTACGATGAAAATTAAGTTATCTACCAACATAAGACAGATTGTCTTGCACCTGTTTGCAACTCTCTACAGTTTTTCAATGCTATTTATCATTTCACTGGCTTCTTCCACTATTGATTTCTATTTTAACAATCTCATTTCAAACAAGACGCAAAACACGCCAATGTAAAACTTAAGATTAGGCAAAGCAGCAATCTTTGGATTTCAGCATAGCTTTTAAACAATACCCTATCTATTTCGAAAGCGATCACACACAGGTCGCCCTTTCTTTAGAAGCGAAAACAAATTTCAATGAATGGCAGAATTCTGTTTAAAATCTATGCCAAAATAATGTTGCTGTTTTGCCTAATTTTAAGTATCTCATATTTCCTGAAATATTTTTAATTGCGATCCGAAAGTGTCAGACTTCAAATAGCATTCTAAGAGGTACTTCTACTTCCATTAGTTTTGCTTTAGTTTCAAAATTACATTTTATGAAAGTTTTGTTGAAATTAAACCTGAAAACTACATCAGATATGTAGATTTTATCGATTTGACCAAATAATAAATCTCATACTGCGGTTTTTCATTAGTCATTTTTGAACAATAATGCATTAATCCTTTACCAATTCCCCCCTATTTTTATAGATCCACTATGAAAATAATACGAACAAAATCAATAACGTAAGTCACATATGTTTTTCAAAAAAGATTTTTTTTTCATAACTGGCACTTAAAATAGAAATCTCAAAGCAAATTTAACGTTTATCGTACAGTTTTCTAGAATGAATAAATTACAGCCAGTGGTCTCATAATGCAGAAATGCTGTGATAAAAATATCTCTTACGGAAATACTTGTTTTTCGATCTCTTTCTACAATATTAACGAGATTTCACAATGTATAGTGACTATTTTTTTTTCAGCCGATTTTGCAAGCTATTTTAAGTTTAAACATAGTATGATTTACTAAACTATAATGGTTTTTCTCTAAGGTTGCCACTCATGTTTCCAGACATATATGGTCTTCTGTGGAAGTGTTCGTCTTAGGGAGTTTTCATTAGCTATCCTTTTTAATGTTATTAGAAATATTGGTCTTTTTCGCAGAGGGTCACCGTGAGAGGGCTCACTCCATACAGATTCGGAAATCAAAGTTTAATTTCTCAGTTCCTCATACGATGTTTTTACTATATCCACTTTTTACAAAAACATGTAATTATTAATATTCAGGGGAATAATTCAGTGGAATGATTTATTTGATACGCATATAACATATAAAAGAAAGTTCCACATAAAAGTATTCTGAAATCGAACCGAAAAGCATGCTAATTTGATTTACGTTGATACAGTTCGAGGCACTTTGCTTTTTGTAGAAGCGTTAAATGTATCACAATGCAGTATATTACATAATCATAGAAATGCTACTAATTAAATATGCACTAATTAAAAGCAGTGTTGCACTGAAATTCGATATGGATTGCTTTTATTTGGCATACAGTGTACAAAACCATACAAAAAGTAAAAATTTCCCATCTATATGTAAAAGTTCCTTATTTTTCATACAGCGCCTTGAGATAAATAGATAATACAACAAATAAATATATAAAAAAAGATTTCCACTCACTGAGTTCAGTCTTGATTATTTTGTTTCTTGGTAGTAAAACCTAAATAGTAAAAAAGAAATAAACTTTCACTACACACACCACAAATCAATGAACAGAAAAACTGCATAAAAATACTTCACGGAAAGCTATTCCCGATGCAGTGCAAAAATATAAGACTTTAAAATCTAGCAATAGAAATTTATGCAATACTGATGGAAAAATTATAACTAAATGGAAAAATAAACTAAAGAGGCGATTTTTATCATAATTGTAAATTTGCACTAAAAATTTGGCATTATAAAATTTATTGATGTTAAAATATGTTTCATTGCTGATAAATATTTATTTTATCTACTAATGTGTCAGTCGTGAGAATCATCAGGGAATTAGAATCAAGGGAAAAAATTAGAAGTTTGCTTTCATATTTTTCAACCTATACATACGCACATTTTGTGCTTACCAATTAAATGTTAGTTAAGTAAAGTCTTCATAAAATGTTCTGCAAATTTATGGAACTCATTAAAACACTTCAGACTAAATAATAATTAATCAAGAAAATTACTCTGTAGATAACACGGGAGAAAAATATAATTTAGGCAATTTCAATTTTGTTATGAGACGACATCACCATCACCTTACCATTTTTAAAGAACATGTTATCAAAATTTCTTCGAAGTATTTACTTTTCGTTTGATTAAGAACATTTCTTACAGATTTAGATCTAAAAAGTGTTGATTTACATTAAGAAAAAAAAAAAAAATCGTAAGATGAGGAGACTTATCGGGTAACTGGGAGATGTGATGAAAATTCGGAAGTCTCTTGATTTTACCCGCAGGGTTGGTAGATCTGTCTAAGGAAACCTGGTACTGAAGATTTTCATGGTACAGAACAACAACATAATTTGAACTCCGCTGATTTAAAGTGTAAACTTGGAGTAAAACAATCTGAATCTTTTAGTAGAATCAATCTGAACAGCAATATTTGATCGGATAGGTATGACAGAATATTAAACGCATTATTACAGAGAATGGCTAGACTGCAATTTTCGTAATACTTATAAGATTCTTTTAAAGATTGTTTCCTTTCATTTCACTACAGAGTGAGGCCGAAACCCAGTACATTGCTAATTCAAATTAAAACGCAGTACATAACATGTGATATTTCATGTTAGTTAATTTTTATGATCTCCACCTTCAATAACCTTTCCGTTAGCCTTCACTAGATAAAACGCGTTTTGTGTTATTATTTAGCAAAATGATTTTGCTTTAATTTCTAAGTCACCTCGATTGTTTAGTTCTGAGCATCAGGGGAACGACGCTTTTTTTTTTTTTTTTTTTTTTTTTTTTTTTTTTTTTTCCCTCAGTAACCAATATATGGCACTCGGACTACAAACTGCTTCATTATCACCATAGAATTGGAGGAAAAACTGGCTTAAAAACAATACTTGTAAAAACTATAATTATCAGTATTAGTATTACGGCGCATAACTCTGTTTTACACGTTTTGTTGGCAATATTTTCCTTTTCATTGCTATTATTTTTACGGATATAAATTGCCCTTTACACAAAAGGCAAACAACTCGCGTAAACATTTTTATCTCCAGTGCGCGAGACTGTGTGTCGGAAATTCTAAAGATATGATCCTTTTAAATTATTTTATGATATTGCTGTTGGGTTTTATGGTTTAAGTCTAAAGAAAATGATATTTAATAAATAAAGGTGACACACAAAGCATTGAAAAAAACGCTCCTTTGGGCGTGATATAAAATCCAAAAATTTTCAGATTTTATTTTTATTTATTTATGTATTTTTACAGAATTTTCATAAGGAAAAATCCAGTGTTTCAATGATATCTTCATTTAAAGTATAGAATCCAGGAATTCCAAACAGAATTCGATGTTTGGTTTTGGTAGAAAATATCCTTTTTATAGTTGCACTGCGTATTGGGAAACTTTCAGGGTTAAAAAATCAACCAGTTGAGCGCGTGAAAACAGCAGTCACTGGCGTTGAAAACTGTTTGCACCTGCTCTGTGATCTCAGGCTAGATGCGATCATAATTTAAGCATAAATATTTTTTTCTATTTATTTCTTATAAAATTATTTTATCAGATACATTATTTTAACTTTACCATCTATTAAACATTTTTAAATTTTTAAAGTCGAAAGCGTAGCACCAGGAAATGATAGAATAGCAAAAATCTCGCAAAATCACATACACATAAATTTCAGTCGCAGAGGTTTCTCAAAAGCAACAAATCTGCGAAAAATCGCACGTTCTGGCAACATTCACGGCAAACATACACAATTAATTAGTCATTTAAAGAGTCAACATGGAGAATTACGTAGTAATTTCTCCTAGAAATTTATTATTAGTCCAAAGGGTTTTGTCCCTGAAGGACTATTGTTTTCGTTTTGCGATTTTGCGTTGGTTCACTATAAATGTCCGTTTCACTTTTCAAACTGCTGCCACCAAATGTTAAGAGTCCTGCATTATATTTGAAGAAATTAAATAATGAAAAACCTGCATAAATGTATGTCTATTTCTCGCACTGTGATAAAGCAACGATACATAGAGCCATCGAATTTTGAATGACTTAATCATATTGTGAATATCAGCATGTGGAAGCCCAAATTTGGAATTCTTTTTATTATTGACTTCCTATTTTGTAAAACTGTAACGAATTTGTGATTAACAAACTCAAAGATTTCAAAGCGAGCAATGTCAACGTTGTACAGGGAAAAAAAAAAAAAAAAAAAAAAAAAAAAAAAAAAAAAAACAACATTTTTATCTCCAGCGAGCGAGACTCTGTATCGGAAATTCTAAAGATATGCTCAATCCGTATTTTAATATCTGAAACCTTTCAGATTTTTTTCAAATAAATATTTTTAAAGTTTAATTAATTTTTTTGTTAAATTTTTTTAAACTTCCAAGATAAAGATTTCGCTGTCTAAATATTTTCAGTTTCCAATACAAGTAGTGTACAACCGCAAACAAAACAGCGCTGAAAATCTAAAAAAAAATACTAGGGGGGGGGAATGTAAAATCACAATATAAAAAATATAGGCTCACACCCATACGTTGAATGATTTAAAACTCTAAAAAACATAGCATTCATCTATTAAATACGTTTAAAGCAACACAAGCTGACAGATTTTAAAACGCTAAAAACATGGATTTTTATCAGGGTTCATAGCCACATTTTAGTTAAAAAAATAAGCACCTATAAGCACTTTTCAAACACATTTTAAGAAAAAAAAAATAAGCACCTGTCTAATTACATTATACAAAACTGCATAACTTCAAAAATTAGACTCGTAATTTAAAATATGAGAAATGCAGTATTTATTAAGAGAGAATAATAATGGAACCTCAACGATGGAAAATAATTACTTTTTTTTTTAAATTTTAAATAACAGTTCAATTTACAGAACTAGTTTACAATGAGAGAAAAAAAACTATGCACAACTAAACTATATTACAAGATTAATTGATGAAATTTCAGTTCAAAATAGAGGTAATAAATAATAATAAGGCATATTTATTCTATTCGCTTGGAACTTAATAATAAATGCAATTTATTTTTCCACTCATATTGATATTTAAATAAATTTAAATCTAAATTCTGAACATTTTCTAAATTTTCATCGTATATCAGTTTTCCCTTAACAGATATTGCAAGCAAAGTAATTTAAGTAAAAAAGAGGAACATTTCTGAAATCAGAAGACAGAAATTTGCTTCATGCATTCATCCTTTAACAGTAAAAGCTTAACTACCCGCATACTTGAAAATTCGCGAATATTCGGACAGTAGAGCGTAACTTCAAAAAGAGGAGCGGAGGGGGGGGATAGACTGTAGCCGTTCTTTAGATTTTTCCGCTAAATAAATTCTTTTGACATTTCGATATGTGCATCATATAAAACAACACAACGGAACAGAAAAATATTCTGCTTAGCAAAAACTCTTTTAAGTGTTCATAAACAAATCTCGTCATCTCAAAAAAAAAAAAAAAAAAAAAAAAAAAAAAAAAAAAAAAATTATCTCTGCAAAATATCGCAAACGTTATTGCGCAATACGTGCGCCGTAATTCTTCCCTACATGATATTACGCAATCGGATTCAACAGCTGCCTATATTGAGAGAATAAAGAACTAAATAAAGGAAAAGAAAGGGACTTGGGGTGTTTTTCATTCTAATTTTCAACAGACTGCGTTAAATTTCCGGAATAGAATCATTCTTCGCTTGGGTTGGTAGACCGCAGAATTTTTAGTCCTATTCAATCCAGATTGGAAAGTGAAAAAAAAAAAAAAAAAAAAAAAAAAAAAAACCGTTGCTTGTTTTACAACGAACTGTAACAGTTTCAATATTCGAGATTTTGCGGAGAAAAGGCAGAACCTCCCAACGTTCGTACTGTATAACGTATTGGCCAAAAAAATGAAATTATTTTGATTATTCGATTACTTTCCGTTTATTTACGCCATTTCGAATATTATTAATTAGAAAGCTAATCTGTGTTAAAACACAACCATTTTTGGAAGTTTACTACACTTCAGCAGTTACTGCAACTATGTTATTATAAACATTCATACATATGCTCATAATATAAGCATAACGACCATAATAAACACGAATATGAACTGACCAGGCGGAACGAGAATGCAAATTATTAAGATCTTGATAGAAATTCAAACGTGTGTAGTATGTGGGTGGGAGGAAAAGAATGCCAAATGTATCGGAATTTTCTACTGCTTTCGCAATTCTTTGACCAACAGAATGACGGGCACCTGCCTGTACCAAAGAACAATAATACATATTCTTTGCCTGTACTCTCCGCGCACACCAAGAGGTTATGTTAATGCAGGAGAAAGGGGGAAAAGCTATTTCCTGGAGTATGATTCACCATATTAGACATTTCATATAATGAAGAAAAGTTGCTTATTTAGTTTCGGCTTTGGTACGGGGAATAACTGCGCGTTCATTTAAAAAAAAAAGCACTAAAAGAAAAAAATAAGCACTAAAAAAATAATAAGGGCTTTAAAGAAAAAGTAAGCACCTATAAGGGCCTTTATATTTTATTTT